CTTGTTTGTTGCTGCTCCATCTCATTTCCCAAAATCCCCCCCCTCACAGTTCTCCCCCTTGTGCCTCAGGGGAGCCGACAGCCCTCTTGGGAGGTTCATGAAACGTGCGAGCAGCATATCGCAAAGCATCTTCTCTTTCGGCTTTGGGAAGGTAAGAGGACGCATGCACAGGGTCAGGGGTCCCACGAAGGGCCCAGGACGGTGTGAAAAATCCAAGGAAGTGGGTTTTAGTGGCCCTCAAAGAGAAACTTCTGAAATTGAGAGCGGTGGAACAGACTGCCCCATGATGTGAAGCAGCACTTTTGGGTTTTTGGAGGTCTTCAAAGAGAGGCTATCGGATGGCATCGTGGGATGTTGCCAGTTCTTCTCAATTCTTCCTTCCTTCTCTCCTTCCTTTCCTTTTCTTTCCTTCCTTCCTTCTCTCCCTCCCTTAACTTGGCTTCCTTCTCTCATTTTCTTTCTTTCCTTCTTCTTTCTTTCTTTCTTTCTCGCTCTTTCTCTCTCATCTTCCATGTTCTGTCCCTCTCTCATCCCTCCCTTTTCTCTCTCCTTCCTCCCCTCTGTTTTTCCTTTCTTTCCTTCCTTTCATCCCTCAACCCTCCTTCCTACCTTTCTCCATTCTCCTTCCTTTTTGTTTGCTTCATTCGTTCGTTCTTCCTTCCCTTCCTTCCCTCCCTCTTTTATCCTTTTCTCTCTTTTCCCCCCTTTCTCCTTCCTTCCCCCCTCTCTCCCTTCTTTTTGCTTTCCTTTCTCCTCCATTTCCCTCCCCTCTCCTTTCCCTTCTCTACCTTTTCCTCTCCCCCTCCTCCCCGTTTCCTTCCCTTCCCCCTCCCCTCCCTTTTTCCTTTGCTCCCTTCCCCTCTTCCTCCCTCTTTTATCCGTTTTCCCCCCTCTTCTCCTCTTCCTTTCTTTCTCCCCCTTTTTTTTGCCTTCCTTCCCTTCCCTCCCATTCCACCTCTCCTCTCCCCTCCCTTCCTCACCCTCTTTTCTCACCCTTCCTCCTCTCCCTCGCTCCAGTTTTTTCTCACCAGCAAGAGGCAGCTCGGTTACCTGGCCTCGCTTCCCATCATCGCGGACAAGGAAGTGGTTCAGGCGGATGATGAGCCCACCTTCTCTTTCTCCACAGGGCCCTACATGAACATGACCAAGTAAGTGTCCCCATAAGGCCTGCGACGCCAAGGCAGGCCCTGGCACGAACCCAGCCTCCGCTCCCTGTCCGACCCACCTGTCAGGTGACCCTTTAAGGTTCCCTTTTAATGCCTCCAACCTGGCTCCGGCGAACCTGCCTTCCAGGGTGGTCGTCATGCTAAACGCCCCACACCCCCGTCCTAATCCAACCCGGTTCCTTCCACCTTCCGCCCGCTCTCACCTTTTCCCTCCTGCAAGGCACCTGTGTGTGGCAGGTGGGGCAAAAAACCGACCCTCCCCTCTTTTTTTTCTCCCCCCCCCCCCAGCCTGATGTGGGGAGGCAGCCGCGTGACCGTGAAGGAGCTGAACGTGCAGCCTCACCAACACTGCAGCAAGCTGCGCCTCTCCGACCTCCTCTTGGCTGAGCAGGAGTACAGCAGGTGCGTTCGAAAATCAAAAGCCACACCTTTAGAACCTCAAAACAGGCTTTTTATGTACAGTTTCATCTCGTCACCCAAGTTTCCTCCTCCTTGAGTCTCATTCCCTCCTGTTGAGGTAATTCCCCGTTAGGAGAATGAGCGCATACAGGGAGACGTATTTGCGAGGAGTGTTTGAATAATACACATACAGCACACAGATACACTGTACAGTAAATGTAGGTTTTTACTTCCAGAAACGTTAAGCAAAGTCCAAAAGAAGGCAGTCCAAAAGTCATTCACAGGTAAATCAGTCAGTTTTCATCCAGGGATAATCCAAATATCAAATTTCAGTGTCAAAAAAACTGTTCAGTATCAGACTTACATTAAATCCAGTTATATCAGTCAATTAGAAGAAATGGAGGAAACGCAATACTTTCCAACAGAAGGAAACAGAGATACTCACTCAGACACACTCTCTTCTGAGACTAAGACTAAACAACCCAGGTTTCTGGCTCCATCTTATGGCCATTTGAGAAACCACACCCAATTGCATGCTCTTGCATTTTCTTAAAGATACAGTTTTAAAATGTTTATCCTGGTTTATATATTTCTAACCCAAATAGCTGTTAGGTGACTCATATTCCTAATACCTCCCAAATTCAAGCTCATTGGATTTACCCTCAGGTGTTGCAAGCTAATCCCAGGATGTCTCCAGGGAGAATTTCCACCTTTCGTTACGTTCTCCTCCTCCGTAGCCCTCCGTACCTCTTACCTGGGCTGCCCACGTGCCATCTTTCCCTAGCGTTAAAGAATGCAGCATCCCCTCATCAGGGCCTCTTTCTAAGCTCTATCATATACTACCACTTTCCCAAAGAGATTATAACAACACACACCTACCCCAAACATCATCATAATATAAAAGGCATATACATAAGATGAAAATATCAAAAGGCTTAACAATGGAACACGTCAAATGTATAAAAGCAAAATAGGTGCGTACAAGGAAATATATTTCATTTGATAACAGATTAACAGAATTGGAAGGCACACCGGAAGGTCATCTAGTCCAACCCCCATTTGTGAAACCTTTTAAGCGTCTTACATGCCATTTTGTTTTTTGAATTCACTGATTTCTAACGCGCGTGTGTGTGTTTGCGTAAAGCCACAAAGCTTTTCGTGCATGGCCTTCTGCAATCATCTTCATCCTTTTAACAACCCTATAATCCCTTGCGGGGTAGGATCTGGGCAGCCGAATGGGAGCGGAGTGTTCACTGGCCGGATGCCCTTCCTGTCACCAGTGCGGAGTTACATGTAGCAGATATATTCTCGTTGTGCCCAGAGAGAGAGAGCGGGGAATATCTGCCTCTGACCTAGGATCGACTCGCGGCCTCCTGATTGTGAGGCGGGATCTCTACCTCTGGGCCACGCGCACCACTCCTGCACGAAAGGGAGAAAGGGGCTTTCGGTCGTAGGCTGTCTTCTCCGCCAATGGGGTCCTCTCTTCCCCCGCTTTGCAGCCAGCTCCACCACCCTCACCTGCTGCTTCTGATGGCCGTCTGTCTGTCCAGCGACTTGGAGAAGACGCGCCTGGTGTTCGAGCGGGTGAATTTTGGGTCTCTCTACAGCATCCTTCACGAGAGGGTAAACCTTGCGCCTTCCTAAAAGCTGTTTGTGGGGCGTCTCTTGTCAATTGATGGATGGATGGATGGATGGATTATATTGTGGCTCCTGAGATGTGAATGCCTGTCTCTCTTGTCTGTCCTTGAACAACTCTGCAAGGTAGGACAGTGTGCTGAATGGATTTAAAGGGGTGGTGCTACCTGAATCCAGCTTCAGGGAGGACAACTATGGCCGCTTTAAGACCTGTGGACTTAAAGCGGCCATAGTTTCTCGCCCCCAATCCAGCCTACAAATTTAGTGCTTCTTTAGCAACTATCTCCTTGCCTCTTGCCTGTGTTGTCCATACGACCTGCGGCCTCCTGACTGGGGAATTCTGGGAATTGAAGTCCATCCTCCTGAACGCATGCCATAGCTGGGGAATTCTGGGAGTGGAAGTCCGCCCATCTTAAAAGCATACTGGCTGGGGAATTCTGGGAGTGAGAACAGTACCCTCTCCTGGCCACATGAGAAACAGCAGGCCCAGTTCTATCTGCAGAAGAGAGTCCTTTAGGTAGTTTTAACAGATTGATAAAGAGTTTGAAGGGACCTTGTAGGTCATCTAGTCCAACCCCCCGCACAAGCAGGATACCCTACATCATTTCTCACAATGAAGCTCCCACAACTTCCAGCAATGAAGCTCCCACAACTTCCGAAAGCAACTTCTATTCCACTGGTTGATTGTTCTCACTGTCAGAAAATTCCTCCTTATTTCCAGGTTGAATCTTTCTCCTTGTTCAGTTTTTGTCCATTGTTCCTTGTCTGGCCTTCGGGTGCTTTAGAAAATAGCTTGACTCCCTCCTCTCTGTGGCAGCCCCTCAATTATTGGAAAAATGCTATCATGTCACCCCATCCCTCTTTTTCTTAAACTAGACATATCTTCTGTCTGTCCATGGTTTGTTCAGATGTCTTTCCTTCCTTCCTTCCTCCCTCCCTCCCTCCCTCCCTTCCTTTCTCTCTCTCATCTTTCTCTCTCTCGACTTTCTCTCTCTTGTCTTCCTTCTTTTCTTTCTTTTTCTTTGGAGGATAGCTTGACCCCGTCCTTTCTG